TAAGGTATTATAATATGCACCAGACCAATAAAGCTTTGCTTAAGTCCCTTCTAATGCGAAAAAGTGGAAAATGGAAAGACAACTACAGACTTGATTGGAAAAGGATAGGATCTGAAAAAACGCGTATTTGGCTAGAATCAGATTGTTACATCACTTTTTTAATGTAGACTTGAAGAATTGAAATTTTCACATAATTTAAAAAAAAATATTAGTTAAGACAAGTTAAAATATATCAGTCGGTTTTGCCGACTTTCTTGTCTGATGAAGAGAACCGAATGCTTATATTGGACTTTATTATCGTTATGGGTTTTCAAAACTTTGACTTGTGGGTGAGGTACCAGAAGGAATGGTCTGATCTTTACCATTCTTATAACACAACTTGTATTAATAGAAATATTGACTTGTGCCAAGTTTGAATGGAATCGGATGTCAATTTCGTATATATTGTAATACTTGGCCTTTGTAATACTAGCTTGGCCTACCAACGCGTGAAGATGACAGGAACAGCTGATCATAAGAAAAGCAGAACATGCCAAATTGAGTCCGCATACTTCGTATTTGTTCTTCGGATTTATTAACTTCATAGCAAACGCAACCATACCGAAAACTGCAAACATTTGAAGTTGAGTGGCATTTCTGTTGCAATTAGTGAAATCGAGGCAGCAACATACTTCCCTGTAATAATCGTATCCTCAATTAAATTGTGTGTGTGTGTTTTTTTTTTTTTTTTTTTTTCGCTGTTAGCCTAATACCATTGCAAAGGCGTTGTGGGTCAATGCTTCTTGATAAAATCATATCCCAATCTGAACCGATCCCGATATTCCGTCACACCTTCCATATTTCATTGAAATTGAAATCGGCCGAGAATATATGTGGTAGCTATATCCAAATCTCAACCGATTTCTAATTAATGTGTCTAATTTATTATTGTAAACCAATTCCGCCACACATTCTGAATTTTATTGAAATATCGTGTTTGGTGCATAAAATACATGAAATTCATCGGCGACCATCATTTTTGGTTAAGAATTTCAGAATTTTAAGGTGATATAAACCAGAAGCATAGCAACAGCCACCATCGCTAGCTGAAGAAAGCACAATTTTGTGCGGTACATGGGCATCGTGGTATTTTTCCATTTTTTGACGATTTTTCGGGTTTCCAGCATCATTTTGATTGCAGATATTTAAAGAGGAAAATATCCAATTTTGAAATGCCCATAACTCCTTAAATATTGACATTTCGGGGATTCGAGCATAATTTTGATTGCAGATATTTAAAGAGAAAAATAGCCTATATATATCCAAATCTGAACCGATTTGCATATGATTTTACAAATTTATTTTTTTACCTCATTTAGTCACTCATGTCGAATTTCATTGTAATCGGACATACCTGCCGTGTTTGGTGCAACAAATATGTGAAATCGGCAGAAAATATATACGTTAGCTATATCCAAATCTGAACCGATTTCAATATAATTTTTCAAATTTATTTTATTTCCAAATTCCGTTTCGCGTTCCAAATTTGGAGACTGAATCTGTAATCGATCAATAGATATGTACATATAAAATCTAAATTTTTGGAGGTACCTCCGATTCTGATGCTACTTCTCCAATTCCAAGTGGAATTTCAAAAAAAAAAATATATAGCCTATGTTACTTTCAAGCGATGTTGTAGTACACTTGGAAATTTTTAGGAAAATCTGTTCCGCGGTTTTCGTGTCCATCAATTACAAACAAACATGCAAACATTTTCCTCTTTCATAGATACAGATAATTATTTAAAATTGCGACCCTTTGTGGGGGAGATATTTGATGGAGTGGGCAGATGTTGCCTATTTTCGTACCTGGCGTAGCCCTGATGCAAATATTAGGATTTGCAAAATTGGAGCAAAATCGGATTATCCTTTCTTGTTCTATGAGGTAAAAAATTGTTGGCATTTTGAGGAGCAGGTGCCGGACGGAGCGGACCGATATCGGCCATCTCTTACGATGGGCAATTTTGGACCAAATCGAATACACCCTTCGAGAGTTATCGTGCGCACCAGCCAGCCAGCCAGACAAACGGACGGACATCCCCAGATCGACTCCAAATTTCCTGAAACGAATTTCTCCTGGTTCCTAACCCACATAGGGTTCAGTATTTTGAAAAAACCAAACCGCTCCAAGAAAGCGTCCAAAGCTCTCTCTCTTCTCTCTCTTCAAATATCACACACACAAACGTTTTTACTAACACAAGATCTGTTGTGGAGATGATATATATCGGCGAATCCCTTCTGGTATCTCATCCACAAAGGTTCACAATTTTCAATACTTTTTCTGTCATAACTTGCGAAACAAGTCCGCGATTCTTTATAACCTATGGAATTTACGATTTCACACAAAACTGGACATAAATATTCGATTTGTTATTTATTTTGTAATTTTGCCCATACCAATATTTTTATTTATTATGAAAATGGAATACTTCACTCGACTACATCTTTTTATTCCCTCATATTTTAAAATTTTCTAAAAATTATCACATATCTCGTATACATACATTTCTCCATAGAGGGTCAACAATTTGAATAATCATAATAGAAGCCAAAATATATTTATATAATCGTATATTGGCTGAGTATATCAGGGTGAGATAAAAAAAACTGCAACAAAGTCATACGCCATGATTTTTATTTTTTTTTTTTTAAGTTTTATTGGATAAAAGCAAAAAATGTCGGAAATAGCATCAAATTTTAGAATAAGTTTAGATTTGTTCGAATTTGTCACCTTTGACAAGAATTATGGCCTTCAAACGGCCAATGAAACCGTCACACACTACCCGAATACTACTCTGCGGTATTTGTGTCCATTCCCGGCGAAGCGCTTGCTTGAGGTGATCGACACTTTGATATTTTTTAGTGCCAACCTTGCTTTCCACAATACTCCAGACACAATGTACAACGGATTGGTATCCGGAGATTTTGGTAGCCAATGTGCGCTGGAAATGAAGCAAGGAACCTAATTTTGTAACCATTATTGGGTGGCCCGTGTTGAGTGCGATGGTGCTGAGTCCTGTTGGAATGTTCAAGGTCTGCGGCCAGAATGTTTGCGTGCCCAAGGCTTTAATACACCCTATAGAATATTTTCGCGATAATATTCCGCATTTATTCTAATGCCACGGTCGATTAATACGAGGCGAGAACGACCATTGGCTGTTATGACGGCCCACAACATCACCATGGCCGGCGCTTGAGTTCTGGTGGCCAACCGAAGGTGCCCATTTTGATTTGACCTCTTTGGCAAGTAAACACGATCATTTTGTTTCTTCACTAACTGCTGGACAACGAATGTTTTCTCATTGGAGAAAAACAAATTCGGCAGTTCACCACTTTCAGCCAAGCGAAGCAAGTCTTTAGCTCTTTTGAGTCTATTTCCTTTCCATTGCCGTGTAAGTTCTTGCACTTTTTGGAATTTCAATGGCTTTACCCCGAGATCATTTTTCAATATTTGTGGAATGAAATATTGCGATTTGTTCAGCTCACGATCCATTTTTCGGCCACTGCGACGCGGGTTTCGATCAAGTCGCTTCTTTAGTTTTCGAAGTTTCGAAGTTCTGCTGAAGTTGCTGTTTTCTTCCCTCCACTTCCTTGACGTCGGGCTACGCTACCAGCTTCACGGTAACTAGCGTTGGTACGAGACATAAAATATTTATTCACATTTATATGCTGGTGTGCTCTAACGGTAGCCTCTTGTGGTTTTCCAGCCAAATATAAAAAAATCACACAATCACTTGAATTCTCGAATTCCATCACGAATAACTTTTTCTGGAAAATTCTCACCAAAATGCTTTTGTGCGCTTGTAAACAATATAATGAGCTGTCACTGGAATAATTTTAACATCTGTCGGACGAGTGGCTTTGGAATGACAGCAGTCTGAAGTTGGTTGCAGTTTTTTCATCTCGCCCTGTACATCTGTCAGCAAAACCGATTGATATTTTTTAACTTGTTCAATTTTAGCTTCTATGGTTTCGCGTTGTTAGTAATGTGATTTAGTCAACAAGAACTTTTATAAACGCTTTGAATATTTATAAAGCTTTCCTTTTCGTTTTGCAATCTTCAATTTTTTAAAACATTAAATGTATATATTTTTCTTTTATTTTTGATCGTTTTTTTTTTTTTTTTTTTTTTTATTGACTACCTAATTATTGTTATTCCAACAAAATCCCAGATTATTTCGACATTTTACAAAATTAGCAATTTCTGCTTTTTAATTTATGAAGACTAGCAAAAACTTCAATCATAACAACTCCACTCAGTACATTTACATGCACATATAAAATAAATTCTCAGAGCAAAACAAAAAAAAAACAACAAAAACAGCAACAACAACACAATCACCTTTCACTTAGTTACCATACGAAACCACATGAAATTAGTGAACTTTGGTTTCACAGAGTCAACCTTGCGGAATGAATGGGAAACCATTCAAGCTGCTAAAATTGCCATACATAAGATCCTGTACAGGAATTGCATTTTAAACCGAGAGCACACATACACACACACTCACACACAGACATCCGTCTGTCCATTCATCCGTCCATAAGTTATACAGACCAAGCAACCAACCAGCCATCCAACCAACGTAGAATATATTCAAGTCGTTACGTTTGTGAGAGTGGGTGTGTGTGTTTTGGTGCAAAATTACGAAAACTACAGTGTGCTGCATGCAGAGATAAAACCCTACGGCATGCCATGTGAATGTAAGTCGGATTTTTGTTCCATATTTTAGTGTCATATATTGTGTTGGTGCTGTTGCTGTTGCTGCTGCTATTTTTTTGTTGTTGTTACTGCTGTTATAATGGGAAATGTGTACAGATGTATGTGTGTTGCTTATATTTTATCTTCCATATTGTTGTTGTTGCTGCTATTTTATATATATTCTGTATGTAGTCCGTCCGTCTGCCTGCCTGCCTGTACAATTGCAGCGACCAAACGAACAAAATAATAACGTTTCTTACCAACTACAATCATATCCTCATGGCCGGAAACAGTTTGAAATGATGGCGCTTCACCGGATACTTCACAGCGGTAACGACCTGTTGACTGTAACGTGACACGACGCAATACCACCACATTGTCTGTGGAATTTTGTAGCTGAAAATTAAAAATAAAATGTAAACACACATACACACAAACGTATATTAACAAATGGATTTAGGGCATATGTTTAAAGATTTATATGTTTTGTATGAATGTGCACACACACATGTATGTATATGTATGGAGAGCCACAGACAGCCACAACATATGGCTGACGACGACAGGTGTAAAGAAAGGAAACTTTTCGTAGTAATCCATGCTCTTAGCAAAATATGTAGGTATGTATGCATGCAAATGTGACCCACAACGAATCGTCCAGTCAGTCAGATATTTACTCTTCATCAGTCAGTTTGAGGATGTTTTAAAAGTTATGCAAATTACTGTGGATTTCCAGTTGGGTCTTAAGGGATATTTTTATTGGTTCTTTAAAGATATCCTGACAATTTATTGGCTATTAAAGTTGTTGTGGTTTTTATTTAAGTTTAATTAATTGTCGTGATAAGGTATTAAATATTTATATTGGATATAATGGAAATAATATTACACAGAGTATGGCGTTTAAGGTTACTTGAGGAAATAAGTCATAAAAATATAAAGTTCTACCAATTTAAGAGTTGTTGCAAAAGCCGAGGAATAGACGATATTAAAGATAGAGGGTAGAGAATACAGATTTTACTTTCAATATGGTATATTAGCTGACATAATTATGATTTTATATATAAAAATAAAAAAGCAGCTAAATTCATCCCGGTCGAACTTTTAATATCCTCCACCATTTGGAAGGAACTTGAAAAATTTCCACAAAACTTCCGGAAACTACCATTTAAATGAAAACTGTTATAAGGAGACTATACGAAGCCGTGGACCTGCTTACGAACTTTTTTTTTGTCATATGCTGTAGTTCCCATTACGAACTTTAAATGCGAACTTTGTTACAATTCCAGTGAATAATGTCGCGCAAATCATAAAAATTCCGAGTATCGGGAGGTACCGTCATATGGGGGAAATACGAAGACGTGGACCTGCATAGAAACATTTTTCCATAGGTTTTAGTAACCATTAAGATCTCCCAATACGATATTTGAAACGATTCCGGTAAATATTGTTGCTGAAATCATCAAAATACAGAATATCGCAAGCTATTGTTATATGGGGGCTATACGAAATCGTGAACTTACATACGATTTTTTTTTGTTATAAGCTGTAATGCGTGTTTCGAAGTTTAAATACGAAATTTGTTTCAATTCCAGTGAATAATGTCACGCAAATCGGGAGGTAATGTCATAAGGGGGCTATGCGAAGATGTGGTAACCATGAAGATCTTTTAATAACCATTACTATCTTCTATCATCAAAATACCGAATATCGGAAGCTACCGTTATATTGGGGCTATATGAAAACTTGAACCGACATGGCCTATTTACGAACTTAACCTGGTAAACTATACATATATGTCTTCTATCTCAATTCGTTCGAAAGAGAGCGTGATTACAACAGACAGACGGACATCGCTAGATCGTCTTGGAATTTTACGCTGATCCAGAATATATATACTTTGGAGGGTATATTATAAATATTTCGAGGAGATACAAACGGAATAAAAAAGTTAATATACCCTTCATAAAATGGTGGAGGGTATGCAAATATTTAATACCGAATTCAGAACAATTCCGTTAGTAAATGTGGCTTAAATCGTGAAATACCAAATATAAGATGGTAGCATTATATACGGACTTTACGAAAACGTGAATCGATATAACTCACTTTCAGTAATCCTAGGCACAATCCTAAATTTTGACCAAATATAATTATGGGTTGTATCTGATTTGAACAAATAGATGGGTGCCATTAAATCGACTTAGAATTTAATTTGAATTTTATATTAATTTTAAAACAACTGAGGCAATTTCTTTAGTTGCTCCAACTGATAACTGGTCACCGAACCCAATTTAGTACGAATTTTTGGCTGGGTAGTTGTGCCCAACATCTTTTCTAATACTACATTTTAAATCGGGGACGACAAATAACCTACAAAATATGGAAGTGTTGCAAAATAAATGACAAGTTTAATAAAAATAGAAAAGGCCAAAGTCGGGCCGACTAAATTATACCCTGCACCACCATGCGAATATAGTAGAGCTCCCGTAACAAAAACAGTTTATATTGGGAATTTATGTGAGGTAGATCCTACCAACTATAAATCTTATTTGAATACGTATCATGCTTTAGAGTAGTAGAGTAGAGTAGTCACAATTTGGGAACTATATCAAACTTTGAGTCGATTTTCAACAAACTTAAAATCATATAAAATAAAAAAAGAATAAATGCCCTGCACTTTATTCACTTTTGAACAACTTAAAACAAAAAACCAAAATTCATTTTTATATAAAAAATTAAGTATGGTAAAGACAATTAAACCGATTTTGGCGTGGACTAAAGCAACTCTGTTGTACATTCATATGATCGCTGCAATTTCTGTTGTTTTTACTGTTATATTTATCGCTTTTGGCTTCATTCAACAGTTTCGCTTGTCATGAATCATTTTTGAGAAGTTTTTTTACAACGACATGTGTTTGTTTTCGTTTTTTAAGTACTGCCCAAAAAAGTTTAAAAATGACTAGAAGCAAATACAGTACATGAATAAAACAGCAAATTATCAGTGACTATGAAAACTAGCTATCGCAAAAAATGATATCCTAGAAATATTTCATAAATATTTCTGTGATTTCTCATATACTAAGTCGGTTTTATGATACTAGATAGGAAGTAACTGTCTATAACGGATGAAGGCCGTGAAAAACCTCAGCCCGTACTGATTAACAAATTGTGCGAGAAATAAAATAAACAACAATTTAAGAGATCAACTGAATTGGTGAGAGAGCTATCATTGAATATAAGCTCGAAATCAGTGCGTAGAAGCTCGAAATCAGTGCGTAGAAGGGAGCCATCAAAAAAGCCATTTATACCTGAAAAAATCGGAAAGCCGGTACGGCTTTCGGAAACGATATTATTAATTGGAATCCATCTCAATGCAAAGACGCTTTTTTCTGGGATGAGTCTACGTTTAGTATTAAAGGCTCATACATGAAAAATTTTACGGTGAGAAGACCAAAAAATAAAAGACTCAAGCCGCAGTGTTGCAAGGGTACAGTGAAGCATGAGGGAGGGTTAAAAATGGTGTGGCACTGTTTTTCTTTCTATGGACTTGGGCCTATCCAGGAAATAAAGGAAGTTATGGATCGGTTTGTTTACAGAGATGTGTTGGACATCACGTTGTTCCCTTACGCTGATCAAAATATTCGGCTCATTTGGGTGTTTCAGCATGACAATGATCCCAAACTTGAATTAAAAACTTGTCAAATATTGGTTGAGGGAGTCGAAAATTGATGTTTTGTCATGACCGGCACAATCATCTGACCTAAACCCCATAGAAAACCTTTGGAGTATCGTAGACAGGAAGATCAAGCGAGATTCGGAAAGAAATAAACACAACATTTTCCAAAGAATTCAGGGTGCCTGGAAAAGCATATACACGTATCAAATTGAGCGTGTTGTAGATGCAATGCCTCGTAGGGGTTCAGCTGCTATCAAAAATAATGGATGCTATCGATTACTAGTCAAAATTTAATTATTTTAAAATAAAAAATCAAAAAGTTGTTTCAGTTTTGACTAAGCAAAAATTGGGTCATTTTAGTTTTCCATATATTATTTTTCGTTCAAAATTATTTTTGTATTTTTATTTTTAGTTTCTTAAAAGTGAATTATAGACCTCATTTAAAACTGGAAAAAATATTACGATTTGTTAATTTTTGTAAAAGTTACAGGATATTTATTGTCTTTGCGATTTTAGTTTGCTTTAGTTTTGGCCACCAGTGTATATATATATATTTTTTTGACAAAACTGCGGCTAAGACCATCTAAATACCTAATATCGGGTGATACCGTTATATGCGGGCTATACGAAAACGTAGACCTATATGTATAATGTTCCGCCATTAGAGCTAAAACCCATGACGTACTACAAACACCAATTTTTAGACCAATTGATGGAAATATGTGGCTAAATCTTTCAAAATACCAAATATTGGGAGGTAACGTTATATGGAAACTATCCCAAAACGTGTAGCGGTATATCTCAATACCAACCATGCTAGACATCATGCAAACTACAGTGCCAAATTTTGAAGCTCTACATCGAATATTGTGAGCTGTATCAAACATATTATGCTGATCATGAATATATAAACTTTATTGGTCTACGACGAATATTTAAATGTGTTACACACGGAATGACAAATCTAATATACCCGCCTTTCCGAGATTGAGGATATAAAAATCTAGCCAATTCGGGCCACATTTTTTTCTACTTTATATGGTAATGAGGATGTATATCGAAGCTATATAAAAATCTGAACCGATTTCGATATAATTTGGCAGAGATATTTTCGAACTGTATCTTATATCCGGTATCAAATATCATCGTTATGGAGTGCATATTACGAATGTGTATAAAATATATATATGAGAGCTATAGCTATATCTGAACCGATTTTCACACAATTTGATGTACTTGCTTCTATACTGAATTCGGTCGGAAGTGCCAAAATTCAGGTCATTTGGACTGATATGGACTATTTTGTGCACAATTATAACGAAATCGGTTGAAGATATATTTGGGAGTTATATCTATATTTGGATCGATTCTCACCAATTTCAATAGGGTTCGTCCTTGGGCCAAGCAAATATTGTTTGGAAAATTTCATCTCAATCGGATTTTGCATTTTGTTCACATAAATACATGAAGTGACGGATGGACAGACAGACTAATATTCATAATTTTTTTTTTTCTATTTTGTCCTATAGGACTTCTTTATTGATTAAAAAAAATTGGCATTACAATAACCTACGAAGCCAAAATGGCTTGTGTGTAGGATATAAAAATTAAAAAATATATTCAAAATGTTAACAAAAATCAAAAACTAAAACTAGACTGTAGACTTCATATATTTTATATAGTTTCATTACTAATTTCAGTGATTTTCTAATAGTTTACTTGTTTAATAAATAGTTTTTCATATGTTTATCGACTCAGATAATGATTCTATTAAGATCCTCAAAAGAAACTATGGGTCTATCTCGCTTCCTTCTTCATGTTTCAAACTAATTCACACAGACATAATACCCTTACCACTATGTGGTGTAGGGTATAAAAATATGGCTAAAATATAAACTAAAAAGAATTTTATGCTGATTATGAAGAATTATATACATTATGGGGTCTACGAAACGAATACATAGGGATGTTACAAACGGAATGATAAAGTTAGTATAACCTCCTTTCCAAGGTGGATGGTATAAAAATGGGGTATACCCTTATATTTGGTTATACCAAAACATGGACCGACATGACAAATAATTTGTAAAAGTGATTCTTCATATGACCCAAAGTCCTGAATCAAATTTGGGATTTGAAGGTAATTATTTGTTAGTAATAGCTGTACTAACCGTGCATACTACATATGTTTCAGGAATTCTGGAATTCAAATTTAATTTGATTAGTGATTAGTTTTGTTAAAAGGTGTTTTAGGACTTCATGCCCGATGTTGGAAGATTTTATAAGATTTTTTGGAAATATATTGGTAAAAAGTCGTGAATTTTATTTTAAAGTTCTTTTCAAAAAAGGTCTTTTCATTTAAAGTTATTTATTCTAAAGGTAGATAAATGACCTTTTAAGCCTTTACTGCCAACATGCACTCTGAATTCCTCTCGACCAACTCCTCTTCATGTTGCTCCTTTTTCAGATCCTGGGTGTTATTTTCTGATACACTTGAATGACTGTATACCTTTAAGTAGGTGATCGTACTACTTTGAACCAATAACTTCTCTTCATTGACGTATCCCGTTTTTGGGAACCAGAGTGATATAATCTATCACACTTCGTGCGGAAAAGTTATGAGAGCTTTTTGGGGAAAAGTATTTGAAATTGATTGAAATTCTAAAAATTCAAAAAATATTTCCGACATTCTTCCGATATGAGCATAACATTTCTTTTTAAAAATGATACTATCCTTTTCTGAGCCTTTTTTAAGCATACACTACCACTTTGTTTATTTCCTTTCTTTACACTTCTCATATTTTGTTTATATTATTTCCCGAAATGTTCCGCTCTTATAATTTTCATTGTTTCTATTTTTCTTCCTATTTTTTTTACTTACATCGACATCAACACCCGGCAACGGAAACACCTGTCCAGGCGGCATATCTCTCGGTACATAGCGATAGAATTCAAAGCCATCCTTGTACCATTTCACCGAATACAAAGATTCGCCATCCAAATCGTATTTACAGCCCAGCGCTGCATCCTCGTGACGCATTATGTGTTTGGGTATGCGGACCTCTGTCATCGATAGTGATAGACACGGTGCTGGAAAAACAAAAAAGAAACAAACAAAAGTAAGTAAACAACAACAAAACATTATTTCAATATCAATGTGAATGGAATTTGGGGTCTAGTGGAATGAAAATTGGTTAAATTTACGCCATGTCATTTGAATAATTTCAAATTGACAGTTTGTGTTTGTAAATTCTTCAGCGTGAATTCCAACGCGCGCTATTCAATCAAATTTTGTTGGATTTTGCTTGGCATCGAAAACTTTTCACCTAGTTGCCCTTTTCTTGATGTTTTACACTTTGTCACCTCGATTTCGAAAGCATGGTCCCAAGAGTTTAACACAAAATTATTTACTTAAAAGTTTGTCCTGTCTTGTCTTTACACCGAACGGGAGAGTGGGAGAGAGAAAGAGCGCACCGATAACTATGAAAAGAATGTAGCTTTTTAAGACCAAATAATGTAACAAAAGGGAACAACAGCCAGCGCAAAAGGACTTTGTTAATTTTCCTCCATCACATCAAGTGTTAATAACTAATTTAAGCTTCGTGACTTAGTCCTTTATCACTTTAACTCAATTTTATTACCAACAAGTAAGCAAAGGCTACAGTCGAGCGGGGCCGACCGTTGAATACCCTACAACACTATAATAAACGATACAGTTTATATAGGCAAGATACTCGAAAGAATTGCACAAGATATTGTAACAAATAATAAAAGAAAACCATCAGGTTTCGTTCTCTAATTTTCGAATAATAGCAACTTAAACTAATTTGCTCATTTCCAATTTATTGGTAGATGTTGCACTCAAATGGTCTTCCTAGATCTGGAACCAATATTTCCCAAAGACCTATAATCTCTCAGAAGTGGCAAAAGATTAACATTTATTATTGGTTTTTGACTGTAACGCATCTATATGAGATACAGACATTTGATTATACGAAATCAGCGTTAACGAAATATTCAGAAGTGCGTCTTTCCTTTATTTGTAAATTCTCCAAAAAGTCACTGGAATGGACATTTTTGTATTTTGTCTACAAAAGTTTTCAAACTATTTCACACATTGAATATTTTTGGATGGCCATCCAAAACTGCTTGGCTTTTGCAATGTCCGGTAACCCCCATTCAAATGTGGGTGAGGATCAGGCGACCGGCTGACAATTTTGCAGTTTTTTTGGTCCATTTCAACCCGTAAATATATGGCGATCATCTCCAAAAAGAGTAGGCTTCTATTCTGACCCTCATCTTATCCCCATGCAAAATTTCGTAAGGATCGGGCCATAAATGCGATCTGTATATGATATCCTGATATCCTAACTACTTAGTTTTGTTAGCTGTAGTTATATTACCAAATGTTTAATTCAAAATGAAAATATGCCAAAAATATGACAAAATGGAAAAAATATGAGAAAATATTACAAAATCAATATTTTCATCTTTAGAGAGATATTTGTATGCGCTTTTTAGACGTTTTTCCTTTCCTGTCAAGAGGCCATTCTGAATTAATGAGAACTGTCGAAATCAGTTCAGCCGTTCTCGACATATATGAGATCTTTCAAGCATATCTTCTTTGATTGACATATATATCGCATATATTTGCTATATATTCGATTTTTTGGATCTTAACATCAATGTAAAGATCAGAAGTAACCTTGTCATGGCTTTGTGATTTCGCCGGGATTTAAAATAATCGCGGTTTAATGAAAAATTTTGAATTTTTTCAACAAAAAAGATATGGCCTATTGTACCCGCTAAATATTATTTAATGACCACCCAAATTGGTAGGCTTCTTCCCCGCCCTAAACTCTAGCTACATGCGAAATTCCGCGTCGATTGGTCTATAATTGCGACCTGTATAGCTACTGCAAAATCCGACATTTTTTCAGTATTTGGTACATTTCAACCCCTAAACATTTGGCGATCATCTCCAAAAGAAATAGGGTTCTATTCTGACCCTAGCCCCACCTCCATTCTAAATTTCGTGAAGATCGGGCCATAATTGCGACCTGTAGAGTGATTACAAATTAACATGGACAGACGGACAGACGGACAGACGGACGGACGGACATACATAGCTAGATCGACTCAGCTCGGCGAGCTAGGAAGATCCATACATACTTTCCTATGTGGGAAATCAATATTTCGTGGTGTTACATAATTTTTGGCCCAATCAAACTTATAATACCCCCAACACATAGTGTTGTAGGGTATAAAAAGGGTTGTTGATGTTGGCTTCATTCAAATGAAAAACAAAAATAAAAAAAAAAAAAAAAAAAACTTTTTAACAATTAAATTTGAAGGAGGAAATTTGAGTACGAAAACAGTGGATATGTTTGACAATGAATGTAAAAATAAAATTGATGTAAATTAAAATTTGAAAAAAAGTCAAAATCCATGATATCTTGTCATATAGTCTTTAGAAATCCATAAATTGAAAAATCTAATTTTTATTGGGGATTTTTTAAAAATCCATCATTTAAAAAATATTGTAGAAAATCTTAAGAAAACATGATTCTTGAACAAGAAATCGAAGAAGTTTTTATTAAAATGCTTAAGTTTCAATAAGGAGGTCCCAAAAGTCCACAAAAAATTAAAGATTTGTTGCAGGGAAGTCCTTAGAAAAATTAAGTAAATTCGACTAACTAGAAATCTGGGAACAAATCAGATAATCACTAAGTCTTATTTCTTGAATTAATAAGTAAAAAAGTATCGGTCGGTTTTGCCCAATGTTCAATTATTTAAGTATATATTGACTTCTATACTGATTATTCAAAATGTTGAACCTCTATGGAGTAGGTTCCGAAGGAATGGGAAAATGTTGCCCATTTCGCATCGGACCTAAATAAATGTTTTATAAATATTACGACGAGCCAGGTTGGGACTAAATTGGTTACTTCCTTCATTTTATATGATATAAGTTATAATTTTTAGAAAATATTAAAATGTGTATGAGGTACCAGATATAGTCGATCGAAGTATTCGATTTTTATACCTTCCACCATAGTATGGAGGGTATATTAAGTTTGTCAATCCGTTTATAACACCTCGAACTATACATTTTAGACCTAATGTTAATAGAAATATTGAGATGTGCCAAGTCTAAATGGAATTGGAATTTAATTTCTCATTTTATGAGTTTCATGGATATTCAAAATGTCGACCCCTTGTGAGGGAGATACCAGAAGGGGTGGACTCTATTTTCACACCATAAAATGAGCTAATAAAATATTGTGATGTATGTTGAAAACAATCAGACTCTCATTGTAGAAGAGTTATAATTATTCATAATTTTAACCCTTTGTGGGGGAGGTACTTAACGGAGTTGACCGATATTGTCTATTTTCGTACCTGACCTATCCATGATACAAATATTAGGGTTTGAAAAGTTGGAGCAAAATCTTTTTGGTACCTTCCCCCCTTTATGGGGAATATTTCGGAAGGAGTGAACCGATACTGTGTGTCTCCGAACTCAATCTAAGTTTCATAATAATATTACCAAATGTACCAAGTCCCTTTGAGAGTTATCGTGCGCACCAACCAGCAAACAGACGGACGAACGGACATCACTAGATCGACCCCAAATGTCCTGAAACAGATTTGACCTAAAGAGACCTTGTGTCTAAAACCATTATATCGATGTGGCAGGTTTTGGCCGTTTCAAATGATATACCATGGCCGGCTTGAGTTCTGGTGACCAACCGAAGGTGCACATTTTCAGCTGACCTCCTTGGCAAGTAAACACGATCATGTTGTTTGTTTACAAACTGCTGGACGACGAATGTTTTCACATCGGAGAAAACAAATTCGGCAGTTCACCACTTTCGGCCAAGCGAAGCAACTCTGTAGCTCTTTTGAGTTTATTTTCTTTCTGTTGTTCTGGTGACCAACCGAAGGTGCACATTTTCAGCTGACCTCCTTGGCAAGTAAACACGATCATGTTGTTTGTTTACAAACTGCTGGACGACGAATGTTTTCACATCGGAGAAAACAAATTCGGCAGTTCACCACTTTCGGCCAAGCGAAGCAACTCTGTAGCTCTTTTGAGTTTATTTTCTTTCTGTTGCGGTATAAGTTCTTGCACTTTTTGGAATTTCAATGGCTTTACCCCGAGCTCATTTTCAATATTTGCCGAATGGAACAATACGATATGTTCAGACCACGAGCCATTTTTCGGCCACTGCGACGCGGGTTTCGATTAAGTCGCTTCTTTACTTTTCGAACCATATCAGCTGATGTTGCTGTTTTCTTCCGTCCACTTCCTTGACGTCGGGCTACGCTACCAGAACCAGGGAAACGAGCGATGGTACGAGACACAAAGAATTTGCTCACATTTAAATACTGGAGTGCTCTTACGATAACCACTTGTGATTTTCCAGCCAAATATAAAAAATTACACTATCACGCTTGAATTCCATCACGAATAACTTTTTTTCTGGAAAATTCTCACCAAAATGCTTTTGTACGCTTGTAAACAATATAATGAGCTGTCACTGGAATAATTTTAACAGCTGTCGGACTATTGGCTTAGAAATGACAGCTGTCTGAAGTTGATTGCAGTTTTTTCATCTTCCTATTCTCGATCAACATAAAATTTTAAGTTTATTTAGCCATGCCCAGTCGTCTGTGGAAATCACTTTATAGTCCGGTAGGAGTGAAGTAGGTGCACACAATTTTACTCAAATTCATTTCAGGTCCGTAGAATTGATAGTATTGAAAACGGCCCCCCATATGGGTCCAGGTTTTGGTATAGCCCCCATGTAACTATACTGGTCCCCATGTAGTTGACTAATAAATTTACATGAACTTGGTATCCTTGAAGTGGCTCTTAGAATTAAAACGATACATATCTTTACCGGTTTATCACAGATGATACAGGTACAGTAGTTTTTTGCTTTTTCTGAAATTAAGTTTTAACACTCAAATTGAAAATCCTGTCGGATCTTTACTAATCTGTAAAATTTCTAATTCAAGAAGCTCGGATTTTGGTATATTGAGGCTTTTTTACGACAAATAATTTTGTAAGAATAATTTGAGAA